CTGTTCCGTACTGCTGATGATATCCAAGGTAATAATGCACAGAGTGAACGTTCTTGCGGAGATGATAATCTCCCCGTTCTACCCCTTTCGTGCCAAAACGTGAGTGTAACTTTTTCTCTCAGTGAAGTGCAGTTGTGGGGGTTAAAACCACCTTTTGTTTTTTTTCAAACAATATGGCAACCCCACAACTCACAATAGGTATTCGGTGTATTTCGATATTTCGACCCGTTTCAATACCCCACCCGAGGGGTTAGCAACTCGAATTTTATTTTACGTCCCGCGGACCTATCCGTTCGCGACGGCGGTCGGGCCAGGAGTGCGCGGCTCGACTGGCTGTATCGCTGAGACGGAACGATTCGGCGTTCTCGGCGGACTGCTCGGATGCTGCTAGGCAGAGTGGTCGCGGAGAACTGGAGAGGGCATCGTGGTATCTGCTCGCTGCTGAATCTCTTCGATCTCTCTCGAATCTGTTGAATCTGTTACTCCGATCAAATTTTCGCGTTCTTATAAAGGATTAGGGCGGACCGAACACTGAGCGCTCGCGCTCGCTGGCGTCGAATCTCAAAAAGGCCCCCTAATCACTCTTGTGCAAAAAATGATCGTTTTTGATATTCTTTGATTTTGACGAAACTTGGCACGATTGAAGATCTGAACGTTCTGATTCTGAATCTGCAGTTACTTTTTTCCTAACTTGTCGTTTTCGAAAGTTATAAAGCGCGGTTCGCGACACCTCCCCACCTATTGTGAAGTTGTTTTGGGTGCGTTTTTACGCAGAGCCTTTATTTTCACAATAATAATGGTTTACATAAGGTTTCAGTCGCATAATGCTTACAAACCCTGCAAGAGAAGAATATTCACAGAAATCGTTCAATTATTACAAAAATGGTATACATTTCTTATCAGTAATATCTTACAATCGTTGATTACCTCGTTGCAAAAGTGCGTTCGGCACTTCTATTCAGCAATGTGTTATAATCGTTAACCAAGTAGTTGCAAAAATGCACTTGGCATTTCTATTCAGCAATGTCACATAATCTTTGATTCAGTAGTTGCAAAAATGCGCTCGGCATCTCTATTCAGCAACTTTACTAAAATTGACCAAGTAGTTGCAAAAATGCGCTCGGCATTTCTATTCAGCCACTTTACCTTGGTACACGATTTCTCCTGAAATTAACCAACAATTTTTGGTTTCCTTAAAACTACCCTATCACGGAACTATATACAACAGTGACAGGTGCTCTGATACCTGTCAACTGCAAGGATAAACTATATCTAATATTTTACAAGTGGCTTCTACTCCCGTGAGTAGCAATCTGGTTGTTGTCTATCTCACGGTTTCCAACAAAGTCCGATTGGAACGGAACCGCGGTTTCGCGCACACAAACGCACTGTTCACTGCACGGTAAACTAGGGCTTATGTTACAACGTTATTACAGTGAAAATCAGAGCTCTATCGCGGAGATACGTGGTGATAGTGTATGGTGGGCGTGAAAACCATTCAAAACACTTCATACTCCCCCCCTTCGGATAGTTGCATGGCTGGTTGGGCTCGACGTGTCCAACTTGAAAAATCGAGATATATATATAGTTTTCATCACTAGTTTAGGGTGAGAACGGAAGATCTTCAGGGAGAATGTCTTGAGACTCATCCTCGTCCGGACGTGGAATGAGGATGTCTCGGGCCCTAGAGTTTATTACTCTATATCGGGTTCTCGATGGTCTGAGGTCATCTACGTGAAGTTGTGCAACCCCATTATCGTGGAGGACCTCATACGTGACATCATCGAGTTGTTTCACGACTTGATATGGACCCACCCATTTCTTTGCAAATGGTTCATTTCGACGTTCGCGCATCATGACCTGGTCTCCAGGCTGAAATGAGACAGCGGGGGGGTCAGTAGCGTGCGGGAACAAATCCCTGGCGTACACAATCTGCTTTCGGCGCGCGTCCTCGCGCTTTCGCCGAAGTTCAGCCGTCTGCTGGGCACGTTCGACTTGGAAATTGGGGTGTTTCCATTCGCCGGGCCTAGGAAGGGTGTAGCCAGTGACATACTCGGCCGGGGTGATTCCCGTGGCGAGATTCGTCCTGTTTCTCAATGCGAAGAGTATGCTATTTAAGTCTCTTTCCCAGCTCGTGGGCAGTGTTGACGACATCACTCTAGCTCGTATTGCCTTTTTCAACTCCTGATTCCGTCTCTCCACCGGATTCGCTCTCTGGTGATATGCCGATGAGATACGGTGTTCGATGCTGTTCTTTTCAAGATACTCGACCCACTGTCTACCTTGAAAAGTGCTGGAACCATCTGTGATCACGAGTTTTGGGTATCCCCATCTCGTGCACATGTTATGCAAGAAACTAACGGCTGTTTTTGAGACTACATCTGGTTTGGGTTCGGCCTCTACCCATTTACTCGCAATGCAAGTACCGACAAACAGGATCGTATTTCCTGTTTGGGTCCTCGGGTAGGGCCCCATGGGATCAATACTGATGACTTGGAAGGGTCCTTGAGGGAGAATAGGCCTCTGGGGGGCGGCTGGCTGTGCCGCGCCTGGTTTCGTACAAGTGCAAACTAGACAAGCGTGTACGAAGCGTTTCACTAGGTCCTTCAGACCAGTCGCGTAGTACAGTCTAGTTGCTGACTTATATGTTTCCAGTACCCCAGGGTGACAGGCATCCTCATGATCGTGGAATCTATGGATTAGTCGGGCAAGCTTATGTTTCGGAACTACAAGCTGCCTAGCATGACTACCCTCCACGGACGATTGTTTCCACAAAAGATCATCCTTAACCTCAAAAGAATTCCAAAGTCGACTCTCCCATGGTTCCAAACGTTCTCTTTCCTCTGGTGTCAACGACCTTAGCATTTCCCAATGACTTACCGCGTCCTTCACCTCAGGACAGTCTTGTTGGGAAGCTGCAATTTCAGCGAACAGATCGTCGCGCTCGAGAAGAGAACACGTTTGCGGACTAGCACGATCTGATTCCTCATCAGACTCGGTTTCAGGCGTTTCCTTATAGTCCGGCACCACTAAACGGCTATCATCCGGTTGTTGGCACTGTATATTGGCCGGGTGTCGCGACAAGTAATCCGCCAACTCATTGTCCTTGCCTTGGCAATGATGGATCTCAAATGAGAATTCTTGCAAATGAAGAGCCCACCTCGTTAGCTTAGCTCGTTCATCCTTGAACTGGTTTAGCCAAACCAGAGCTTTGCTATCGGTTACAAGATGGAACTTTTTCCCTTCAAGATACGGCTGGTACATTTTACATGCCCATATAACCGCCAAGCATTCCTGCTCATTTATGTGATAGCGCTGCTCAGCTGGCTTGAATTTAGCGCTGGCATAACTGATCACTCTCTTTTGCCCGTCCGCCGATTTTTGGTATAGCACGCATCCCATGCCTTGCTTAGAGGCATCAGTTTGTATCCAAAAGTCTAAGTCGTTCTTAGGCCTGTACAACTGTAAGGGTTGGGTCATACTATCCTTCAAAGCTTGGAACGCAGCCTCAGCTGCCTCGTTCCACTTGAAAGGGTTTTTGGTGGAAGTGAGGTCTGTAAGAGGGCCGGAGATGTCCGCGAAGTTCGGTACAAACTCCCTCAGCCAATTTGCCGTTCCTAGGAACTGTCGCAACTCTTTCCTTGTTTTTGGTCGTGGATGTTCCGTTATGCTGGCTAAATGACAGGCTTGGGGTCGGTTTATCTCCTGCGAGATTACAAAACCTAAATACTCCAATTCTTTCGCAGCAATTGAGCATTTCTCGATGTTCACCGTCAGGTTATGCGCCCGAAACCTTTCCAAAACGAGATGAACGTGTTTTTCGTGATCTTCCCAATTATTGGAATAGACCAACACGTCATCCAGGTAGATTTTCACGAATTTATCGATATAACCTGCCAACACTTCTGCCATGAGCTTGGTGAAGGTGGCTGGGGCATTTTTCAGCCCAAACGGCATCACCGTAAATTCGTACGCTGCCCCGTCGGGTGTCACGAAGGCCGTCATATGAGCGGCTCGTTCGGACATCTTCACCTGCCAATAACCAGCTAACAAATCCATAGACGTAAAACATTTCGCCTCTCCCAAATCCCGAATGGTTTCGCGGATATTGGGCATTTGCGTGACTTCATCTACTGTTATCGCGTTCAGCTTCCGGTAATCCACGCAAAATCGAACTTCCCCATTCTTCTTACGCACCAAGACAATAGGCGACGCGAAGTTGGAATTGCTGCGTCGGATGACTCCCTTACTAAGCATCTTCGCAACTTCTGCCTGTATTATTCGTCTTTTCTCAGGTGTGTAAGTGTAACGACGTTCTCGGACAGTAATATTGTTTCTCAAAACAATATCGTGACGGGCGGTGGCTGTATGCGCCATCCCCCAATCTTCCGTGAAAACATCCGGAAAATTTTGTATCACTTTTGCAATTTCCGGTGGAGTTCCGCTAGGAACTGCAACACTGGTATTCTTACGACGGGCCTGGTATAACCAACTAAGAGCATGCCGCTTCTCGACCCCCACGTATACCACATGATGCATGTAATCCACTATCGCTTGTTCCGCCAGATGCCAATCTACCCCTAAGATCATTTGATCTTTTAGGTTCGGAAAAACGTGGAACGTATGACAAAACCATCTATCTTGAATACTGAAATTCAACTTAACCTTTCCCAAAGTCTGAACGGAACTTCCAGCTTCTGCAAGCTGGATTTCCACGGATTTGCCTTCCACCCTGTATCCTTCTATCACATCGGGGTGTATGAAAGATATGGACGCCCCACTGTCCAAAAGGGCCCAAATCCGTTTCTTCTTCACTTGGGCTTGAAAACGAATGAGTCGCGGACTCGATCGTTTACTCTCATTCGCGGAAAGTGCTGTCACTTTCGACTGGTCGGAGATCAGGTTTGTCAAATTACGTTTCCGTTTTCGTCGCCTTTTCCGATTTGATCTAGATTGACAGAGGTCCGACGAGACGGCTGCTGGCTCAGCCTCTCGCCGATTCAAAAATTTAAAGACTCTGCAATTTCGATTGCATCAAGGTCCGACCGTTCGCGACCTTTGCCCTTTTTCCTGTAGGGTTTTCCAACCTTTGCAGGCCCTTGACTAGGGGAGTGGACATCGACCACCACCTGCTGTTGGATCGGTTGTCCTTCCTTCTGTCGGGAGTCTGTCCTATTGGACCACCCTGTAGATGGAGGATTTCTTGAACCTTTACCCCTATTTTCCATTTTTGCAGCCGCTTTCGCTGAAGGGTTCTGCGGTTTGGAACTATTTTGCTTCGGACGCCCCTCCTTACGAGGTGGTTCAGTCTGCTTTGACCGTCCTTCAGACATAGGACTTTTCCTATCTTTGGTTTTCCTTCCATTTGGGCAGCCACTCTCTCCGGAGGGTTCTGCCTAGGAATCGTTTTATTATCCGACTGTTTCTGGTGGGTGTTAGGACTTGGACGTTGGAAATTCGTCCCTTTGGGTTGCCTCAGCGGACATTGACTCTGGTGATGGGCTCCTTCGCAAGTCCAACACTTTGGCTGTCTAGGTGGTTGGTCAGAATTTCGTGACTGGCCGACCTCTTTTTCACAAAAGAGGACTGGGCCGCCTTTCCTCCCAATGCACCAGCTTGCAAATTTGCGTAATCACCCTCGATTTCACTCGCCACGTTGGACAGCTCGGCCAATGTGCTCACTGGCACAGCCTCGCAGCATCATCCTTAGCTCCGGTCGTAAAAGTGCTGTCACTTGTACGACGCGTTCACGTGGAGACGTGGTCGGAGCAATTCGTTCGAACAATCCCTCTTTGGCAGCAATAAAAATCTCAGTTGGCTCGGATTTTTGCGTTTCACCAAACAATTTGGCCCTCAAGGCACAATGCTTTTCCGGTGAGTCGAATTCTTTTAAAATTCGCGCACGGACATCGTCGTACCGAATGTTCAAGTGTTTCCAATGAGCAAACAATTTTTCCGCTTTGCCTTCCAGTTGTTCTAACGCTATTTCCGCCCATTCCTCGCTGGGAATATCATATCGACGGAAATAACGATCCAGTTTTCCGAAGAAAACCTCCGGATCTTGCCAATCACGTCCACTAAATCGCGGTAACCTCGGGGGAGGGGACTGAGTCGCGTTTTGATTGATTAAAAGTCGAGCTATCCCCGCCGTTAGACTTTGCAAGTCCCCTACCTGATCCTGCAAACTCTGTGCGACACTGCTGTGTCCACTATGGATGCTCAGGCGGTCACCTGCGCAGAATATCGGTCCCTTAATAAATTATTATCACCCCCACCATACACTGAACCCCCTAAATCACAAACATTACCATTACAAATATCAATTCCAATCATATCATCAATATAAATCGAGTCATTGTCATGTAAAATATTGTTATGATTCACATTCACGGGGTGTACAGCATTCAGCCGATTTACTCTGGTTATAACACTATTATTGTTTGAATAAGCAGGTCTTCCATTACTACCTTCATGGAAGGCCCCACGTTGGGCGCCATGACGTCTACCTCCTATATTATCGTTTAATTTCGATACCACCACGACATCCCCGCGTACTATACACTTCCTGTCGAACCGTGTATGTGCTTCATCGCACTTTAGCTCCACGGTGATGTTTGGTATCTCTGACCAACACTGTCGGTCGATTGGGGGTGCGCGCCCACGATCGCATCGCGTGTGAAACGCGTGCTTGCGATCGCGGCACGTCGCACCGCGTCGGCATCCTCGCCTGGGAGGCCGACCTGGGATTCTGATTCGAATCCAGGTTGTCGATCCTCGGATCGGCGACACGACCAAGTACTAGTTGAGACTCTTGGTTGGAGGAGACGGCAGGACAGTCGAGGAAGGCTCCCTTTCTTGCACCGAGAGCTGGTGCCGGGCTGAATGACTGTATCACCGGCGCGGAATTCACGTCAAGTGGAGAAGTCACACGGAAATCACTAACATCGCACCTACCTTGACCCTGGCCTGTGTGGCTGAACGGAGGGGGGCTGGAGAAGTCAAGTCTCCTATGACCTGACTGCGATGCGTGGTCCCTGCAACTTCCTCTTTTTCTGCATACAGCGTCGACACCGTCATCGATGAGGGAGCGTGGGCGATCCTCGCGCTGTCGTCGTGTCGTCTTTTTATTTCTCGATGTCATCTTCACGGAGCTCGGCCTGTTCCGTACTGCTGATGATATCCAAGGTAATAATGCACAGAGTGAACGTTCTTGCGGAGATGATAATCTCCCCGTTCTACCCCTTTCGTGCCAAAACGTGAGTGTAACTTTTTCTCTCAGTGAAGTGCAGTTGTGGGGGTTAAAACCACCTTTTGTTTTTTTTTCAAACAATATGGCACCCCACAACTCACAATAGGTATTCGGTGTATTTCGATATTTCGACCCGTTTCAATACCCACCCGAGGGGTTAGCAACTCGAATTTTATTTTACTACGTCCCGCGGACCTATCCGTTCGCGACGGCGGTCGGGCCAGGAGTGCGCGGCTCGACTGGCTGTATCGCTGAGACGGAACGATTCGGCGTTCTCGGCGGACTGCTCGGATGCTGCTAGGCAGAGTGGTCGCGGAGAACTGGAGAGGGCATCGTGGTATCTGCTCGCTGCTGAATCTCTTCGATCTCTCTCGAATCTGTTGAATCTGTTACTCCGATCAAATTTTCGCGTTCTTATAAAGGATTAGGGCGGACCGAACACTGAGCGCTCGCGCTCGCTGGCGTCGAATCTCAAAAGGCCCCCTAATCACTCTTGTGCAAAAAATGATCGTTTTGATATTCTTTGATTTTGACGAAACTTGGCACGATTGAAGATCTGAACGTTCTGATTCTGAATCTGCAGTTACTTTTTCCTAACTTGTCGTTTTCGAAAGTTATAAAGCGCGGTTCGCGACAGCGTCGTGACCCAAGTCATTTCGGTCGGACCGAACATTGAACGCTCCGACTTTGCAGCGAAACCGATTTCGACGGCTTCAATTCTGCCAAGCCTGCGGTCGTATCTGTTGGTTTTTTGAGTCGCTGATATAATTGCATACGAGCAACAGCTAAAACCTGAACGAATATGAAATCTGCATAATTTGAATACACATTTAACTTCGCGACTTGATCACGTACGCTACGTACACGATAAAATTATAAGGTGAAACGTGCAAGGTATCCGCTTTGGACCTAATCGTCCGGCTTTTTGATCTAATTTATATTATACGAATACGTTATATAATAGATTTCATGAAATTAACAATCTACGACTATTCGTAATACAATTATACTGTCGGTATACGGTAATGGATAAGGTATTTTAGATAATCGCAATTATACGGAGGTATGTCTGGCGTACATCCGAACGTGCACAGTCGCGAAATATATCGCGATAATTTAACATTACTCCTGTATATGACAAATAGATAATAATATGAGACATCATCATCTATTATTCGTAATAAATAAGCCAGAGTAGAAAAATATTATATATAATACGAGCGATCGAGTTATAAATTCATCTCTTACTACATTAATTATTAGACGTACGCATTACTGACTTTTGATCTACGTGAAAGTACCTAATGTTACGTATTACACGCTAACAGCCTGCCTAAACGCCTAAGCATATATACGGCAAAATATATTATGTCGAATTATCTACATTATAATCACATGCTACTTATAAGTTATTTTACTTCCATACACATACATACAATTCGTACGTTATTAGAATAATATCAATGTAACGGTTTACTACAAAGCACCACAATCCTTCGATATAGGATAACGGGTAATAACTAGCGACTATCGTATAACCATTTAGCGCTATTTTGCATACACGATAATAGTGTCGAAATTGCACGCGTACAAACAACAATGATATACTTAACATAATACACGATCCCCTTTTTCTGAACATACTATATGATGGTTCTGAAAAGAACCGTTTTTTTTTATAACCTATTATCGCACGCCGTACTCTCTCTCTCTCTCTCTCTCTCTTTCCGGCAAATAATGTAAATCCGTCAATTCCATTAGGCACGTTCGCCCCTAATACGTCTTGCCAGCTGTATATCTTTCGGCATGATCGTTACTCGCTTAGCGTGGATCGCGCACAAGTTCGTATCCTCGAATAGTCCGACCAGGTACGCTTCGCTAGCTTCTTGGAGTGCCATTACAGCAGAACTTTGGAATCGCAAATCGGTCTTGAAATCTTGCGCTATTTCACGGACCAGCCGTTGGAAAGGCAATTTTCTGATCAACAATTCGGTACTTTTCTGATAACGACGAATTTCTCTGAGAGCCACAGTTCCCGGACGATAACGGTGAGGTTTCTTAACTCCGCCAGTAGCAGGAGCACTTTTACGGGCCAGCCTTCGTGGCTAATTGCTTCCTGGGAGCTTTACCTCCGGTGGATTTACGAGCCGTCTGCTTGGTACGCGCCATTACGTTAAATTTCAGATAACTGAATATAAATTATCTATATAGCAGCGACGTGAATATTGCAACGGACAATATTATAGTGAGCGGAGGTAAACACAGGAACAGGAACACAAAGTTCCTAAGCGAACCACCACCTCCCGGTCCAGGTACCCTCACTCTTTCCGGCCCCAGTGGCGGTACGTGGACTGGACGCTCCTGCAACTTGTGTTCCTGTCGGACGCAAACCCCACCCCCCACCAATTTTGCCCTTTAAATTTTCGCGCTTTTCCCCCCCTCGGAATTTTGCCCCGCCGAAAGGTGTGGTAAGCTAATCACGACGCGGAAGCACGGCTGCAGAACGGAAGTGGTCATTTATACTCGTGTACCTTTCTCCGGTTTTACGAGTTCCTCTATTTGGGGTTCCATCGGTGGGACCTTGACCTGAGGTCCACATTAAGGTTTCCCAAGACGGCTTTTGGGTCTTCGGTTTTTGATCTTCTTTCTTGAGTGTTGCCTCCCGACCACGCCGACAAATGCCGAAGTCGTCAGAAGGCCCGCTTGTTAGTGCCATCTAAATGCCCCGCACCTCAAATGAGATCGGTGCATTCAGCATGGCAAATCTTCGCCGTCTGACCACCGGTACTGCACAGGACTTTGCCTATCTTGCATGCAGTACCTTCCTCGCGAGGTTCTACCCCTCTTCTTTAGGACTCATCAGCTGCTGTGTCCCATATCTTCTAGCAGCTGGCTCTTCGGTCTTTTGTGCCTATGTATGAACCTTGGATCGTAGTCCAAGGCGGCCTTGATGAGCTGGTTCTCGTGTTCTTCGGCGTTGTGAAGAACTTCCGAGCTCTGGTCTTCATCACTTCGAGCACTGGCACTTGTCTCAGGTCTTCGTATAGCACTCGGTTTGGCACGTACCACGGTGCGTTGACCGCT